AGTTGTTGTTGATGCTGGTGTAGTTGTTGTTTCGGTTGTTGTTGGTGATGGTGTGGTTTTTGTTGTGGTTGTTGTTGATAGTAGTGTGATTGTAATTGTAGTTGTTGCTGGTAGTGGCAGTGGCGATGTCAATGTTGTTGTTATTGTCGTTTCGGCTGTTTTTGTTCTTGGTAGTGGTGGTGATGATGATGTGATTGACGCGATGGTTGATTCTGATTTTATAAAATAATATAAACGTATGAGAAAAACATTCAAGGACTTGTTGTTCAGAAATTGATTCTTCTCGATTTACTATCCTGAGTTAATGATCTAGTTGTTGAAGCACTGATGTCTACGACCGGTAATGATTTTTTCGATTATATATGCATTCAATAGGAATCATTAGAGACCGATAGGGTGTGGAGCTGGGTGTCTCTTAGCACACACTCTCACCCACACCTTATTGAATTCTTTTTTTCTTTTAGGAAAATTTATTATTCATTCATTGATTGATAAAATTAAAAAAAACAACGACTTATCAATTATATTAAAATGACTTACTCCGTTCTTCTGAAGATGTTGGTGGATTGTTTTTAATCATATATTTTAATGTAAATATTCCAGTTGCAATCATCAAAATAAGAATAAAACTACATGTCAATAATTTTAAATGCCAATTACATCGCATATATTTTTTTGATTTTCGTTTTTGTATTGTGTCTAAAATGACAGATTAATATTATGTATCGAACTCTGAAAACATGAACATTTTTGTTTTACCATTATCGGTTAATTTATCTATTTCACTTGTGTGAATCTCATTATCATTTAGTTGTATTATCTCGTTGATGTTCGTTTTACCATTGTCGGTTAATTTATTGGTTCCACTTGTCTGAATCTCATTATCATTTAATTGTATTTCCTTTTTGATTTTCACTAAAATGTGTCTCAATCGAAGATATTCTTCATAATCTTTTTGTTGAGAAGCAATTTCAGCCAAATCTTTATAAACAGTAAGAAGTAAAGGATCATTTTGTGAAAGTTCATCTAAACAACGATAATAATATTTCTTCGCTAAATCGAAATGTCCCATTCTTCGTACAACTGTTCCTAAAATACAAAGATTTGTTTCACCGTCTCCAATTTCATTTTTCATATCCATAAGAATTTGTTTTAAATTATGTTCATCATCACTACATAAACACATTTGAATAATCCAAAATGAATTTTGATTATCATGAGTAATTGAATTCAAACGAAATATCGATCCAAGCATAAAAAGAACTTCTGATTCAACAATAAAATCACTAAATTGACTAATATCAGCAAATGGTTTTGTTGTAACAACTATTGGATCAGCATCAATTTCAAATAAAACTTTTTCAAGATCGATCCATTGATGATTTGTATCACCGAGATAAAAAGTTGCAATTTCTTTTTGAATACTCGTCGAAAGAAATGAATTAACCGAAACATACTGTCCAACACTATTTTTAAGATAATTTAATTCATCAATTGACATTAATTGACTTCGATAAACACGAGTAGCACATTGACATTGATGAATTTCTAATTGACTTTGTATATCAATAATGAATGAACGATATAAATAAATCATATGAATATTTTGTTTTCTTAAAGCCGCATTTAATGTTTTATAAAAGAAAGATTCACGTGTATACCAACATAAAACATTATCCGATGAATAACTACTCTGAAATTCATCAAGATGATTTAATTCATGTTGATTTCCTTCATATTCTTTTTCACAATATGAAATTAATTCATGTCGATCATTTTCATTTGATTTTAATCGAAGAAGACAATCAAGTAATAATTGAGAAAATGCAAATTGACCATTGATTCCTGTTGTTGATTTTTCTGCATCACTTATTGTTGTAAACATATTCACCCATACAGGTTTTTCTATTTTTCGAGGATTTTTATGATTTTTATGAATTTGTAAAACCAGTTCATCCATTTTAGCATGGATACCTTTTATCTAGAAAAATAATTAATGAAATTAAACTTTATTAATACTTTTTTGTTTACTTTGGGAAAATCATTTGTCCACTGTTTATCTTCTGAATTGATATAAATTGATGAAATTTGTCTTAATTGATGAATTGAAGAAACAATCTGTCGACCGAATTCACCATTAGTAACAAGAACTAATCGATCATTTTCTGATGCATTTTCAATATAATTTTTACATTCTTCAACATCATCAAATGTTTCAATATGATTAATTATATTACGTAATTCTTTTTGGATGTCAACATCATTTTCATTATCATTAAGCCAAATAAGACTAAAGCCTTCAAGATGGTTGACACTGCTTTTTACAATAGATTCATTAGGAATTTCAAGAATTGGAACCATTTCCATTATTTTGGAAATGACATTGTGAATTGATCAAAGAAAAGAATGATCTAAAATCATGTAGAAATAAGAAAAATATCGTCAGAATATCGAATCTTATTTTTTTTTCTTTCTCCCAAGAGATATTAGACAGAAAATTGTCCATGAGAAAGAATGCATAAGAAAGTAAATACATAACGAACCAGAATAAAAAAAGATAAGAATTGTTGATAGATTCATGGTCGAAACTTTGTGATAACACAAGAAAATATTTATCTGAATAATCAAAGGAAAGAAAAGATTTGATAATAATAACGATTTTCTTTCTCTTCTATAAATGATGATATTCTTTCGGATATTAAATATAATAAAGCCTAATGAGAAATAACACGTATACCAATGATTAAATGACAAACAATAAGATCAGTAATGATGTACGAGAAATCGATGTTAATAAAAGTGTACAAGATATTCGAATAGAATTATGTGTATGACTAGTAAAGATTTTAAAACATCGTTTTTATTTATATAGATAATAAGATGTGGGTGAATGTGTACAGAGAGTCAGGGTATTTGCTAAAGGAAGAAATCCAAATATCTACACCCTCAAGATAAATTTGAAGAATCTATTTATCCTTGTCTTTATAAAAATTATTTGTATGAGAATAAAACTAAATTTTATTAAATCTATTTGAAAATATTTTATTCAGGAGCAATAGTTTTAAATGTTCAACAAATAATTGTTGTTTATACAATTTTTTTTATATAAATATTTTTACAATTTTAATTTTCTTGTTGCTTTTTTTAATTTGAACTTTTCAAAATCATTTGTTCACAAAAATTTACCCTTAATTCTTTATTTCTATAGTTATATATTATTATAAAATTTCGATGATTATTTATTAGAGACTAATTTATTCAAATTCCAATTAATTGATTGAATATGTTTAAAAAATAAAACAATCTGTCGTATAATCGATGCATAAGAGTTATGCAAGTCTTTCGACATTATTTTCTTTGTCTTTGTTCTATACGAAAGATGAAAAATAATCAACTTGTACATTTCATATCATTTGATTTATTCATCATATATGTAAATTCATTGATAGTCGAAAGAAAATAACTTATTTGTAACACAATTAATATAAATAGTAGAAATATTTATATATTTCTAAACATTAAAATTTGATTATTATTATTAAATAGTATGAAATTGTATAATAATAATAATTGATCAATGTAAATATATTTGATTTTCCTATAAAATATTTCTACTAGTAGATCTGTTAATTATGAGAAAATTTAATTTTTCATGTTGAATTCTATTATTAATCGAAATCTTGAGGGTGTGTGTCGACGATATTGGGTATGGGTAGCTGATGGAGATGAATATAATATTCACACCCACACCCACAAAGATCCACAATGTTGAATGGGTGTGGGTGTTGATGAGTCTACTCTTCTGATTTACACCCACACTCTAATTTTTTTCTGCTTTTTATTAAAAAACATCTCCACAAGAACAATAACCATCGGGATAGAAATAATGTGTACGATTAGCATCTCGTATAATAATTGTACATTGACGAACTTGAGCAACCCATTTGCTAAAAGTATCTATAAAAAGACAATTCGAAAACAACTTGTTCTTAACGGGTTGACTTACGACAGTCACCACACACACGAAGATTTTTCATTATTTGAATACGATTTGGAATTGGTCGTTGTATTAAATTAAATGCAATCGCTAATCGTTCACTATGACCTGACAAAATAGATTCTTCCGTTTCATTATTCATCAATGGTCGACCAATCCATGATGCATCGCATTGATATCCATGTTCTTTTAATTCATTTGTTAAACATTCTAATTCTTTGTAGATTTCATTCGATTGTGGATGTGATCGATCATGTGCACGAAATTTCTAAATAAAATCGAAACAAATTTTCGACTATTACTTCCTTTTTTCTTTCTACTAACCACTACTTTTCCATTCACCACGGTCCAAGAAAGACCAACCAATTTTTTCAAACCTGATTGATTCATTTTCGTTCGAATATTTGATACTGTTGTTAAATCACCTGCTAATGCATACGTATTTGCCAACAAGACTTTAGCTGATGTAGCATAGATTTTTTGATCTTTTAAATAAGGTTCAATACGATTATACATTTTCTGTGCTAATAATGGATTTCGTTGATTACGTGCCGCTGACAAAACTGACACTAGATGATGATAATAACAACACTTTTTTATTTTATCAATAGAAATAAACTTACTGTACATTGAATAGGATGGTAAATGTGATTGTTCATATTCATTAATCAATTCTTCAGCTTCATTCATTAAATTTGAACGACTAAAACAATCAATCTATATATTAAAATATATATATTAAGACAAATAATTAATAAAATATATTACCATTGCTGTATAAATTTTTTCTGTTCTTTTATCGATGGAAATATTTTTAAAAATCTCTTGAGCTTCATTAATTAGACTTGCATGTGAACATGCATTCAATACACATAAATTAATAATATCATCAATGATTTCAAATGGAATTTCATCATAGAGTTGAACAGCTTCTCTACCTAATCCATTTAGACCATATGCATTAACTGAAGAAAAGAAAAAAATTCATTCTGGTTTTATTTAGAAAAAAACAAGAAACATACTCATAGTAGAATATGACATATTATTTGGCTTTATAATTTGATCAAAAATCTTTTTTGCTCGATCAACTGAACTACATTTTCCCTAAATATATATTCATTAGGAAGAATTTATTAATTATTCTTTTATACATACCCATATATTAATCAATGCATTTTGAATTTGAATATCATTGTAGAATGTCTCAGGTAATTCTGAACTAATCAATTCACATGTTGAAAGATCAGTTAATTCTGCTAATGCATTAAGAATTAACATCCAAATAAGATTATCAATTTCAATTTTATCTCGTTTCATTTCTTCATATAAATTTAAAGTTTTCTCAGGTTCATTTTGATTATTATACATTGCCATCATACATCCATAAGTAATCGTATTTTTATTTAATTTTTGAAATAATTTTTCAGCATTTTCAACATCTGAACATTTACTCAACATATTTAATATTGAATGAATTACTTTTTTACTAAGTAATTTTCTATTTGATAATAATTTTGAATAGATTTGTTTACCTAATTTCAATCCTTTTGCATTAACTAATTCAGCACATGCACTGAAAAATAATAATAGATTAATTTCATCCATTTGATTATTTAATTTCATAAAAATATCAATGACTTTTTCTGGTCGATTATTTTTCAAATAACCTGACATCATTACACCATAACTAATTGTATCTTTATTCATTTGTGAAAAAATCTTTTCAGCGAATAAAATATCTCCATATTGCATTAACATATGTAATGCTGAATTAAGAATAATTGTATTCGACTGATATTTTTCAGGTACTGCGTTTAAGATTTTTTTTGCAAATTCAAATGATTTTGTATTATTTAATTGTGAACAAATTTTAAATAAAATACTTAATGTATATTCATTTGGTGGAATGGACATTTGCTGAAAAAGATCAAATGCTTGTTCCGCACGATTATGATTAGCTAAACCATTGAGTACAACATCATAAATCATTGATGATTTATTTGGAATTTGATTGAAGAATTCTTCTGCTTTAATAAAATAATTTAATTGAAAAAAAGCATTGAGAATTAAAATATAAATTCTTTCATTTGGTTGAATTTTTTTTCGTTTCATTTCTTCATATAAATTTAAAGTTTCTTCCGGTTCATTTCGCTTATTGTACATATTCATCATTAATTCATATGTCATTTCATTTCGATTTAATTTACTAAACATATTTAATATCGAGTGAAGTACTTTTTCATTACCTAATTCAGCACATGCATTAAAAAATATAATCAAATTTATATCATTTGGTTTATTAATTTGAAAAAATAAATCAATTGTTTTTTCTATCTGTTTATTTTTTAAATAACCTGACATCATAACACCATAACTTGTTGTATCTTTATTCATTTGTGAAAAAATCTCTTCAGCTAATAAAATATCTCCATATTGCATTAACATATGTAATGCTGAATTAAGAATAATTGGATGATTTTGATATTGACTAGGAAGATTTTCAAATAAATCTTTTCCAAATTCAATCGATTGAGAATCATTTAATTGTGAACAAGTTTTAAATAATATTGTATATGTATATTCATTGGGTGGAATTGACATTTCTCGCAAGAGATTTATTGCTTCTTTACCATGATTATTATTTGAAAGACCTAAAGAATACGATCTATATTTAATTTAGATGGATAAATATTAACCATTGATCATTGTATTGTACATAAAAAGAGTTTTATTTTGACTTTTATTAAAGATTTCTTTTGCTTTATTTATATCACCAGATTTCACTAAAATTAGAAGAAATAAAATAGTTTGATAAATGATTACAAGAAAATAAATTTACTAAAGAGACGAATAAGATTTGTTTGAATAAAATGATTTTGTTTTGATTGAGATGATAAACGTTGATAAATAGATGATCCTCGTTTTATATCACCTAATTCAATACAAGCTTTAAGTGTTTGATTAATTACAAGATCACTTGGATTATTTTTTTGAATATAATTATCAAATAAATCAATCACTTTTTTATATTGTTTATTCATATTTAATTGTTTCAATCGATTATTAATATCAATCAATGTCGAATAGAAACATCGACAACGAATTGTAAAACGAAGAAACATCTCAATTTGAATACTATATACGATATATAGATGACGCTTCTATCTACTTTCTAGTATTACATCTCAGAAAGATATAATGACAATGTTTTATATAAAAATGTTGTATTGATGAATATGAGATTATTGTTCTTTAGGTTGAATATCGATTTGATTATTTTACGATTTAACTCGTTTTGTTGATTGTTGAAATTTGATGAATAGTTATATACATTTATTTTATTTATCAACATTTGCTTGGTTTACTGCAATTTCATTCTATGTAATATACTTGTATGGACATTTTCAATATCATCTTGAGGGTGTGGGTGTGGGTGTTTTAATTAAAAACGTACACCCACACCCTAGATACTGCATTTGTTTGGGATCATAGAAATTCAAATGAAAATTTATTTGTGAAGAACTAAAACAATGAACATCAATTAGAACAAACGAAAAAAAAACTATTTTTATGGATAGAAATATGAATATGTATTTGTCTTTAACCATCATTTTCTGCGTCAGTTAGTGTAATAAGATTATATAGACTACGTAAAAGATCAACAAGATATGTTTTGTTTCCAAAAAGAGTATCCATAGAATTGTTCATATTGAGTACATAATGTTTCTCTTGACAATATTTTACAAAACCATAGAACAATGATCCAGAAATAAAATCTTGTGGATAAGTTGAATAACGAAATGGTGTATTGAAAAAGTCGTTCAATCGTAGACCAAATAAGTAGATCACTTGAAGACAGTTCAATTCATAAGTTGTTCGTTTATTAAAATTTGTTTTTTTCGAATCCTTCTCAGCTAATTCTTCGAATTTTTCAAAAATTTTTTCATGTTTAGATAAATCCATTAACTGACGAGAACTGTTAATATTAAAAGTAGTTAATAAAGCATTGAATTGTTCTGTCATTGATTCTGGATCATTTCGTAGAGAAATACATTTAATGAAACAAAGAAATACTGCATAAAGATATATGGATGAAATTTTGCATCGAATGTACCAATAATAAATAATCATTAACCACAAATGAAAATCCGAAGGAATATTTTCTAAGCGTTGAACAAATTCATCAGGTATTTCCAGATATTTTCTTACAAAACCTTGACGTTCATAAACTGGCATTGTTGTCCAAATCTGTTCAAGTTCAGGAAAACCATCAGCTTGAGTATTTATCGAATATTTATCTTCTTCTAATTTATCTACTTTACGATGATGAAAGACGACGGAGGAATCATTTTGATCTTTATCCCATTTGAGTAATATAGTAAAACATGGTAATACAATGGGAATGGCATAAGTAAAGATTGATGGTTTCTCTTTAACTTCGATAAGTGCTTTACAGATTAATTGACGGCGAATAAAAATTTCAATAAATGATGATGATAGACGAAGATCAGTGACAGCATCGGCAAGAAACAAAGGTAACGAATGATTACATTTACTTTTAATATTCTGTGAAATTTCATTGACAGAATCTTCTTTCTGATTATCATTCTAAAGCAAAAAAAATACATTCTGTGAAAGAGCAAATATCTTATTACCATATCAAGCGTATCAAGATAGGATCGAGCAAGTTGAACAAAAACAGGATTTTTGAAAAGATTTGGGTTAGCATTATTTGATGAATTAAATCGATAGATTAACGTATCAGATGGTTCCAAATAACATAATACTGCTTCTTCGATTTTTGTTCTTAATTCATTATTTGAATTCAAATGAACTTCTGTCGATAAGTCATCAAGTGCTTCATCTATGTCAGTCTTTTTTCGCATCCATTCCATAGCATTCCAAAGATTTTGTGTTTGTTTTGATTGATTATTATGTACGTTTTTCGATGTTTCCACATTATTATTCATATATCTAATTATTTTTATGGTTGAATCTCTATCAATATAATCATTACCACAAAGACAGCACGCCAAAGCTAAAGTTTTCGGTTGTAAACCTTCGAATTTTTCAAGTAATGAATCAATATGATATAATTGTGCAGTTAGATACACATATCCATGTCTTTTTTTCGGATTAATATCAAGAGATTCAAATGGTATGTAGCCACGATGAAGATTATAGCAAAAATAATCACTATCAGTAGCCATTAAGTAACAGTTAAAATGATTTGCTAGTGAGACACATTCATCGTCGGCTTCACCGAGTGCTGAAATATATGGAACTTGCATTACATCAAGTACACTGATGAATGTTTGACGAAGTAATCTGGGATTAATGGAAACTATTGAATCATCAGTCGTTGATTTTACAATACTATCTTCAGCTCTCTTTATCATTGTTGATTCTTTTCGACTATCAAGTTGTGCTCCATCAAAGACTACGAATGCACTGTAAAAAAAACAGCATAAAAAGGAAATGTAAAAGTATATTCCTACTCACTTGATTTGGCATTTTTTAAATGATTCAAACAATTGTATACAAGATTGATAAAACTGATCGTATTCTCCAGCAAACACACATGTTAATTCACATTCTTGATACATCTGATGATAAATTGAATCACCGTCGATTACAACATTGCAATTATGAAATTTAATTTTTTCGACTTGGTCGAACGTCTTTCTAATAAATGTTTCTAAACCTCGAATACCCATTGAATAATTAAATATCTAAAAGAAATCTGTCGATATTTATATGTATATAGTCTATATATTCATCTCCCACAATGGGAAAAAACCCAGTAATAGAATGAGTCATCATGGACGTCTGCAATTTTTTCCTACTGAATAATTATTTATCAAAATTGCCTTTGATCGACCAAACGGTATGTTAATCATTTCAAGTGTATGCAGAAAATAAAATATTCCATGTGATTAATGTAAACTTTTATTTTTTTTCTTTCTCTGCCCATTTTTATTACATATTGTATATTATAACAGTGACGATAATATGAAGTGCTTTATACTCGTTCATCGCACAGATAAAAGTTTCATTTTTTTATCTTTTTAGTTGATATAAAATAAAAAGCTATAGTGAACGAAGAAATTCAAAATGATTTATTCGTTGAAGTTTAGCGATTTTTCTACTAGAATATTGAAAAAAATGTATAAAAATAAACATTATTACTGGAAGAAAAGTTGGGTGGGTGTGAATTAAGAGAATATAGATATACCCACACCTTGGTTTAATTTGACCATGCGTTGGTGGTATATCGATATATATATATCGTAGGTTTCTTAACTTTTTCTTCATGATATGAGGCCTCGTTCAACACTTACAATTTCATGTAAATTATTCTTTTTTAGATTATTTTACTCCACGACTACTACTTACGGTCATATTTTCCTTCTTCTTTTTTTATTACAGGGAACACTCGTAAAGAATCGGAAATGCAAATATGTCTGAGAAGGTCGTTTCTACATATACGTATTAACTTATCAGTCAGCTTTGTTTATTACACTTTTATTATTTACAGAGTTGTTCTCTGTGCGCGCGCCAGTCACTAAGCAATAGAATTAATTCAAAATTAAGTGAACAAATACATTCTTTTATTTATTTATGAACTATTTTTTTGTAATTTCTTTTCTTATAGTTTCAATACTTTCTTTCACGTCTTTAATATCAGGATGAGTAGCAGGTAACGCACGCTGATATATGTCCAGAGCACGTTCAAAATATGAGAGTGCTTTTGAATAGTCTTTCATATTGCGATACACAAAACCGATATTGTTGTATGAGGTTGCCAAGTCAGGATGATCTGAAGGAAGAGATATTTGTCGAATTTCAAGTGCTTTTTCGTAAAATGAAAATGCTTTCGAACACTCTCCGATCTTTTTATGCACCAAACCGATGTTGTTGTATGAAGTAGCCAAATCAGGATGATTTAAAGGGAGAGTTTTTTCATCAATTTCAAGTGCTTTTTCGTAGTATGAAAGTGCTTTCGAGTACTCTCCGATCTTTTTATGCACCAAACCGATGTTATTGTATGTAGTAGCCAACTCACGATGATTTGAAGGAAGAATTTTTTCATCAATTTCAAGTGCTTTTTCATAGTATGGAAGTGCTTTCGAGTACTCTCCCATCTTTTTATGCACCAAACCGATGTTGTGGTATGAAGTAGCCAAATCAGGATGATTTGAAGGCAGATTTTTTTCGTCAATTTCAAGTACTTTTTGATAATATGAAAGTGCTTTCGAGTATTCTCTCATTTTTTTATGCACCATGCCTATGTTGCTATATGAAGCAGCCAAATCAGGATGATTTGAAGGAAGAATTTTTTCATCAATTTCAAGTGCTTTTTCGTAATATGAAAGTGCTTTCGAGTACTCTCCCATCTTTTTAAGCACCAAACCGATGTTGTTGTATGAAGTAGCCAAATAAGGATGATTTAAAGGGAGAGTTTTTTCATCAAATTCAAGTCCCTGCTCGAAATGGCAAATAGCCTTTTCATAATCGCCTTTACTTGAATGCACTAATCCCAATTGATTATAATAAAACGCTTTTTCACTCTCATCAGATGTCTGTTGGAGTAATACGTTATAAAGTTTTTCCGCTTTATTAAATTGACCAATTTTAAGCAATAAGCTGCCCAATCGTTTCCAACCCGTATCACCACCAGCTTCTACTCGTATCCGATCAGTTAGTAATCGTAATTGTTGATCATCATCCGATGTTAATTGTAATTCAACCTGATAAAGTTGATTGTTATCATCGATTTGTTTAATGGTACCCACTCGAAACACGCTGTGCATTGAGAAGAGAACTTCTTCTTCTTGTGCCTTGTAATAACTATGTGCAGTAATGCAGGCAAATGGTGTTGATTTAATACACGGATCAATCGAGATTATAAAAAGAATACCCACCTTGTCTGGTTCTGTTGAAGCGATGCGAACGTAACCGATAGATACTTCTTCATCTTTGCTGGTGGACAAGAAATTGTTAAATGACATTAGACCGCCTTCTGTTCTTTGAAGTTTTTCGAAGTCTGATTTCATAAGACCTTGTCCACGATAAACTATAAAAGATTTTCTACCATAAGTACTGACCTGTTGTTCGTACAGCTGTTGAATTTGTTGATGTATATCTCGTAGGAAGAAACCCATGTTAATGATTATATCGCCATCTAACATTCGAAGTGCTTGGTTGAGCATAGCATAGATATTTGATGGGAAAGTATACCACCAAATAGCTAATTGATGTTGGTATTCTTTCTCAAAACGGTCAATATATATTGGTGACAGGCAGGGTGGGTGTGGGTGTGAATGTGGGTGTATCCGTTTTGTGTCTAAGATACTCACTTACTCACCCACACCCACACCCACACATTCTCAATCTATTCCAATATCTTCTAATTAAATAAGTAAGTTATTTGATTTATTTCAACAACAAAAAAAACATATTTATTTTTGAAATCAATAGATTCAAACAAAATGTGGGTGTGGGTGGGTGTGGGTGTGGGTGTGGGTGTGGGTGTGGGTGTGGGTGTGGGTGTGGGTGTCAATTTAGAACAGAGACACCCACCCACCAACACCCACACCCACACCAACACCACACCCACCCACCCACCCGCACCCACACCCACACCCACCCTCACACACACCCACACCCACACCCACACCCACACCCACACCCACACCCTCTAAAGGGGGCCGAAAAAATACCCTTACCCGCCCTACTCCTTTGTAAATGCTTTAAATTTGAAAAACTCATTACTCTTTTTTAAAGATTTAATAAATCTATGTTCATCCATATTCATTGACAAGTGTAGGTGAACAATGGATAATAAATGTTCTAATATTATAAAAATAAAAAATCATTTGGTTTAGTCAAATACCTTCGAATTATGGATCAACTTATTTGAATATCAATAAATTTTAACAATATTGATTGTGAATAACTCAGATAAAAATTTGTAAATATAGTTCATATCAAACCTTTTTCTAATAAATATTCCGTATATCATTATTAGTTTATAATTCAAAAATCATTTTGAGAATCTCGATAGTTTTTCATTATTTTATATTCTGATCAAAAATACTAAAATTAAATCGAAATATATTTAAATATAATAATGAAGATGTAATTGAATGTTTTCAACATGAAACATTGATTAAATCTAAATTCTCGTTAACAATTACTGTTAAACTTTCTAAATTATACATACATGCGATAATGTTTATTAAATTATCAGTATGAACAGAAATACAATCACTAATAAAGAGATATTTAAGATTATTAAGTTGTCTATCAAAAAGATTTGTATCATTAGATTATATTAAATTATGTTGAAGAGCTCTTATTATTTTCAAATATTTTCATAATGGCATATCCATTAGCATTTTATAATATTGCTCGAATATATTAAACTTGACAGATAATTTTATAAGTGGAATGATTTCTTAGCCAGATGTGATATTGATAAAGCATTTAGTTCACATTCTCAAAGTTTAAATATGAGTATATCTGAAGTTGTTAAAGATCTAAACAATCGAACACAAGTTAACTGTGGAAATAATAATAATGTTGATAATTATAATTGTTATAAATCATTTTCTTTAATTTCAATTAATATTAAAGATCGAAACTGCGTAAATGGATCTAATGAAACATATGTAAAGAATGCATAGATTTGTCCACATGTATTTTCACTTAATAGTTTCAAATGAATCAATTTATTTTTGAATTTCTATATAATCTAACATTTTTTCATAAAATGTTGAGGGTATGGGCCTGCGTGTAAGTTTAGGTGAGCTAAAGGAAAGACATCTACATGTATGACTTTTATCTTAGTTGTTTATGACAATGACATTTATTAAACTATTTTATCTTATTAAATTATCTTTAATATCTATTCTATTGACTATGAGCATTTATGAGGCTACTATATATAAATATACGCTTGACAAAACACGAAATTAAATATTGTTTTAATAGAAGTTGAGGTTGTAACGAACTGTTAAGATCCGGATAGCAGAAACAGAAAGTTCAAAAAATTTTTATGACGTTTTACACCTTTATCTGATACGAGCTATAATAAGCGCGATTGTTAATACTTGCTTTATCTAGATTACATGAATCTGAAATATCTATAAATATTAACAAATAAAAAAAAACTATTTTCTTTATTCAAGTATAAATGCTTATGACAAGTACGATCAAAGGTACGTGTACTCATGGGCAAATACAATTTTAAATACACTGTACTTGTATGCTTGCTATGATAGACGAGCTATTTTCTTCAATACGTCAAATAAGCGTGTCTTTTCTTTTAGTTATATAATAACAATGAATAGTGAGAAGAACAAAATAGTATAATCATTCAAATATTGACTATATCCCACGTAGACAAGACCAGAAATGGCTCGTTATGTGTGTGTGTCAAACTCTTTATAATCTCATCGGTTTCACTTGATTTCTTTATGAGCCAATTAAAATTATTCTAGTTTTCATAAACTAATCTTTGTATTCTTAACCCTTTGAGTCCCAGTGGGATATATATTTCCCACCTATTAAAAGTTTTCAAATTCCTGAAATTAATACCTTATCTGAAAAACCACAATATGCTACACGATGCAGCATGGAAAGCTCTACAAATTCTTAGGTAAAAAGTATCGTCATTAAGTGCACTTCGTTTTTTTTGAAAGATCAAAAATTTTGTGCAATCAATCAGTCACGCTGCAAAATAGTTTTCTTCTGTTCAACAGAGAAATCCCTTTTCTAATATATTGCGTATTAATTATTAATTAAAATATATTTAATATTGAGGATTGTAAGGCTTCTCATGCTGTGTTTTGTGGCTTATTTTCCTGATTTTTACAAAAGAGTATTATAGGATAAAAAGCTAATACATGCTAAGTTAGAATCACATGCCATAAAAGAATTCTTTTAGGAACGTCGAAAATTGATCCCATAGAACTTTAAATTTTTTGAAAGAAACACGTACTTCGTAAAAAAATGTTTTACGTTGCCGGTTGTAGAGCTTTGCAAACTGCATCTTGTGAGATATTTTGGTTCTTTAAAATATAGTATTAGTTAATTCAAAAACATATGAAAAAAAGAAAGTTATTTTTGTTCCCAAAAAAGTAGAAATATTTCGGGACTCAAAGAGTTAAAAGATTTAAATACATAAGTATTGATAATAATTCTTTATTTTTTTTCTATCATTATGTTACAGGTATTCTGTTTTACATACCTTTTATAAGACAACTTATTGAAATATTTTCTATATATGAATAAGTTACTAGCGAAAAAGATCAAGATATTAATGTAACTTTTACATTATTCATCTTTTATAATATCATAATTTTTATTTGTTTCTCAGAATTTATATTTTTCATTGAATTATTTTTATGCAAATGAATGTTTTCATATTTCTTATTTATTCTAGCCATATCTCTTATTTTAATCTTATTTTTACATTATTGAAATGAGATTAATTATCATACTTTTTATCCTACATCAAGAATACTTCAATTTTATTAGAAAAAATAAATCATTTTAATTCGAAACAAATTTTATTAAAATTATATTTCAATGTCCAATGAAAATGTGACTCAGTATTATTTTCCTCAATCATAAATAATAACGATTGAATATCCATGTCCATGTGTTTGAACTTCATTATGGTTAATTTTTTCATACATGGAACCATATAAAACAAATAATTTACTTCTTTACTACTATTCAATTCATGTATATAAACTTCGGTAATTTTAGTTGTCTTCCTTATGAAATGAAAATTAATCCATTCATCCCAACCTTTCGTTTTATCATCAAACATAATTGATTTGATATTCAAATGCATTAAATCTGGTAAAATAACAATTAATCGAATTAGTAACATACTTGGAATTTCTTTTTCAGTTATAATTAAATTATAAATCTTTATAAATTTTGCTACGTGTTCAATTTGTGTTAACATCATTCTTTCGAATATAAAGCCAGAAAGACATGTAATTGTTAATGAAGTCAATTGAAAACATTCGACAGATGCAGCTTCCAAATTATTTATTCGCCTTTTTACATAAAAAAAAATCAAATTTAATTCATTTAATAAAAAAAAAACTTTTTTTCATGCTTATATGGATGAACTTGAAAAATAATATTGCATGCATTAATTTCCAAATCTAATATCCATTCATGATTTAACCAAAACAATGAATTAAATTCATTTATATAATCATAATTCATTTCCAATAGACTAATTTCGTTAATTTTATTTGAACAAGTTAAATAAAATTTTTTTAATTGAGGATAATAAACTGAAATTAATTTTTCCCATCTTTTAGCGTTTACAAATGCTAAATTTCTTGAAACATGTATTGAAAGAATATTTAAATTTGATATATCTGTTGATAAGGTTTCAAATGGAATAGATGTATTCATCATCTTATCATAATGAAATAAATAGAAATGAGTTTTAGTGAGAAATGACGAAGAATGAATAATTTGTTCGAATCGAAAATTAAGATTTAAAAATGATTTAACTATTTCATCACCATTCAAATAATCAAATATATCATAGAAGATTTCATTTGAGAGATTCTCAATAGAAGTTATTGATTGATCTATTAGAATAAAATCAAAAATAAATGTATAATCATTGAAAGGATAACATACCTTGAAATATTTGAATTTTTTCGTCAATCGATTTAATAAGATCTAAATTTTGTTTCAGTCCATTCATATTTAATGTATTATTAATTTTGACAAAGATATATGTAGGTAACTTGAATATTTATCTGTCTTTTATATAATAAAGATAAAAACGAAAAATGACGACACATCAATTTCAGTCAGAAAAGACAATGCGACAGGTTATTCAATGATAATAATTTCAAATTGAAATGAACTGTTCAACCTGACGGCGACAATTGAATGAAATATATATTATTGGCTATATTTTATACATTTCTCTAAATTTGATCATATAGAGGCAATATTGTATCATTAAATGTAAATGATAACGAAAGATAAGATACATTGTGTGGTTGAATATTTATATAAATTTAATGATATAATTGAATGTTTATGAATTGTAATAAATTTCTCTAATCAATTAACGATCAATACGTGGAAATTTTGCTGTACAAACATAACGACCATAATAAGATGGTGAATTGAATCGAAATTGTTGATCAATTAAATAATTTGTTAATTCATTTGAATCGACAATATAGGAGCACTAAACAAGATATGGTACACCGACATTTGAGCCTCAGATATAGAGAAGAAATTAGAGAACACTAGCAAGTAATATTACTTCAACAAAATAACATTTACATCAAAAATTAAACAGAGCGTATGCTCTTTTAAAATACATTTCTCTTGTAATCAATTGTAAAGAAGTTACTAGGCAGAATGTAGGTATTCTGGAGGATTTTACAACTGACCTTTTTTAATAATAATAACAGAGAAATACACAAGCAAATGTGTTGATTACATGGATAAACAAAATATATTTCGAGAAGTTATTTGTTGTACTAAAGATGACTGGTTGAATCAAAGAAGGACATTCTAGCTGGCCATTAGTACCATCAAAAGATTTCGCATATCTGTGTACTTCACTTTAAAATTCATCTAATAAATCACATATGAATTTTCTGTGTTCTCTATTATCTTCTATATAATGGGGGCTCAACTGTCGTGGGCTCAACTGTCGGTGTACCCAGATTTCATGCATAAATTATATGCATTCTGTATTACCAAGGATGTAGATGTAGACTCTATACTCATTACTATCTACATCCACACACTCATAACTAAAGTTACTAGAAATATCAAACCATTTATCAGCATACTGGTACCTGAGATCTGACTAAAGTAAAGATCGTAGAAGTGCAATTATAATGTAAACCGTCGAAAGATTTATTCTTTTTTTTGTTTTTTTGATTATGCGTTGTTTATTTGTGACGCTTTGAAGCGCTTACAAAAAGATTTATTTTTCTGTCATGCTGCGTTCACGTTTATAGTAGATATAACTGCTAGAGAAGAAGTAAGAGATTATGAGTACACATATATCCAGTTGTCTAATCTCATTCTAAACTCTCTTTTGCAAAATAGAACCGACTACGACAACAACGTTAGCAACAATATCACTCACAACATTAACAACAATGTTAACGACAACAATACCGAGTGAGTACAATCTTAAATCATTTTTAGTGACTCAAAGGATGCTTACGCGAAGTGACGATATCTAAAAGTTTTAATTTCAGCTTTTGAATAATCGTAATCTAAACAAAGACAAAATAGGGTCAGTTTTTGATGATTTCATTCAACCTACATTCATTAAAGTATTGAATATTCTTGTCCTATTCAACAGTATCAGCTGAAAAAAATTGTTGCTAAAAACATTTTCATGCAATAGAATTCATTAATTGTTTTAGCAATCACTTACATCCACCCTTTCTCAAAATGATCGGAAAATAATTCTACACGCTGAATTATTACTTGACATAATATCGACATGAGATATGTCTAGCAACATTAATCTCATTTTTTAGGTCGCATTTGTATAGAGTTACGTAATTGAAAAAAATGTCGTAGAATTATAAAATACAAACTTCAAACTTAGAAAAAACGCATTTCATGATCATCAATTAACCCTTACTGTACTGATTTTCTCATGAGAACAATGCGAGAATTATATTCTCTTGCCCACAGTCACATCCTGATACATACATACAACATCCATCCAAGATGGTGAGAGTACATCTTGTTTTCACTATGTTAAACAATGTAGAATGACGCTCACTCAAATTCTGAAATTTTATCATAATTCAGCATAACTGAATTGTATGACAGTGTTTGAGTCTCATCAGTTCGCGATATTGATAGAAGTCGAAAAATATTAATAAAATCGTTTATAACATATTTTTTATTAATTTGATTTAACATTTCATAATAAATCTTATGTTAATCATAAAAACAAAAAGAAGTTTATTGAACGTCTGAAATGATTTAATTTGTGATCAATAGATAGACAACTTATGCACATGAGACCTTCAAAATTTATTGTGAAAGTAACATTTTTTTCATACTTTTCTGCATTATCTAGAATGGACAATGACAGGAAACATGAGTATCGGACAATATGGCCACACAGCATCTATATTAGTAAATGGATTAGTATTAGTTGCTGGTGGAGACGACAGTGGTAATGATCATCCCAAGAGTGCTGAATTGTATAATCCATCAACAGGCACTTGGGCAATTACAGGAAGCATGAATGTCATACGAAGAGATTATACAGCATCGACATTAGCGAATGGATCCGTCTTAGTTGCTGGTGGATCCAACGGTGTTCGTCATAATAGTGCTGAATTGTACAATCCATCAACAGGCACGTGGACAACCACAGTGAACATGAGTACCCCACGATCTCTTCACACAGCATCCACATTAGCAAATGGATTAGTATTAGTCGCTGGTGGATCTGACGGCCTTGTTGTTCTTAATAGTACTGAATTGTACAATCCATCAACAGACACTTGTACAACTACAGGAAGCATGAATGTCGTACGAGGAGTTCACACTGCATCCATATTAGCAAATGGATTAGTATTAGTTACTGGTGGAGCGGCCGTTGTTGGTGATTATTTCAATAGTGCTGAATTGTATAATCCATCAACAGATACTTGGACAACTACAGGAAGCATAAATGTCGCCCGAGGATATCACACAGCATCCACATTACCAAATGGATTAGTATTAGTTGTTGGTGGAGAGGGTAGAAATGGTACTGCACTCAATAGTGCTGAATTGTACAATCCATCAACTGGCACGTGGACAACTACAGGAAGCATGAATATCGCACGATATTATCACACAGCGTCCACATTAGCAAATGGAAAAGTATTAGTTACTGGTGGATTCGTAAGAGGTGTCGGTTATTTTAACAGTGCTGAATTGTACAATCCAGCAACAGGCACTTGGACAATAACAGCAAATATGAGTACCTTCCGAGGATATCACACAGCATCCACATTAGCAAATGGAAAAGTATTAGTTACGGGTGGACAGACTGGCGGTGGTTATCTCAATAGTGCTGAGCTTTATTAATCAAAATATGTAGAATGACATTTTCTTTTGTGAACTGAATCATAAATTTTTTTTTATATGTAATCAAAAGTATTTTATCATTCACATTCCTCAATAAATTATCATGCATCGAATAATATATGAGTGTCAGTAATATCTTCATGTCATATTGTATGGCGGTTCTGGGATGAGAGCCATAATTGATCAAAAACGGATCATAGGGTGTGGGTGTGGG